GTGGATGGACGCGTGTTCACTTGGGGAAAGGCAGAGGAATGCGGCATTGGTTTGGGGGAGAAGGCAGGTGCGAGCTTCCGCTTTTGTTGATCTCCTTCAGCTCTTTAGGTTTATCAAACAGAAATGCAGCATGAATCCAAAAAATGCAACCATGCAGAGAGAACTCAAATATAATGGGAAGAAAACATTGCAAACACAATGCGAGCGAAAAAGGGACAAACAACTGATAAAAAACGAAAATACAAGGAAAATAAACGGCCCCTTTAGGAACCTAGGTTTCTATTTTCCTTATTTTTCATCGTTTTCTTATGCTTTCTTAATGCTTTTACTAATTTGTCGAATTGTTTTCTTATTTTCCTGATATTTCTCAGTTTGAAGTATGTTTTAATTAAAAGCCTGGTAAGGTTCAGAGATCCTAAAAATGCAGAAAAAAACAACACAAAAGGAAACTAATGCCCAAAACACAGGAAAAAACATTGAGGTAGAAAGGGAAAACAAAGGAGCAGGGCCAGACCAAAAAAACATATTGTGTCCTTTGCTTTTTCCTTCTTCTCCTGCGTTTCCTTTTGTGTTTTTGTTGTTTTGGTTCCTTTCTTAAGCGTCTTTTTTGGACCTCGGTGTTGCTGGTGGCTTCCTTGCCATCTCGTTTTTTGTCCTTTTTGATTTCCTTTTCTGCCCCTCCTTTTGTATTCTCATTTGTTTTGCATTTCGGTGTCCATTTATTTTCCCTTCGTTTCGCTCATTTCAATGCTTTCCAGGAGTTTAAACATTAGCTTGCCTATCGGCGACATAACTTTGGGTTTATCTTTCTGATCCCGGTAGATGCCGCGCGGCAGGGTTTGGAAGCTGCACGTAAGAGGTGGCATGTTTCATGCAGGTCTGTTAGCTTGAGCTAGGCACTATTCCGTTGCATTGTGGCAGGACCCTCCGGTGCTGCAGCCTCGAGAAGTTCAGGGGCTTCCGAGAGTGCGAGCGCTGCGTTGTGGAGGCCATCACATGTTGGCCAGCACGGAGGGCGGAGACCTATTTGTGTGGGGTTGCGGCTTGACGCATCAGCTGGCCAACCGGCCACGGGACGTGTCAAACCCAACCGATGCAGATGAGGAGCCCGCAGATGAGCTGAGACCCTACCATGTGTCTTCGAAGCAGCTACAGAGTCGCTTCGTGATTGTGGCAGATGGGGGAGCTCAGCACAGCGTGGAGCTTGCATTTGGCGGCCAGTACAGCACACTTAGCCAGGAAGGAGCTGCACCCGTTGGTGCAAGTGTCTCGGCCGTTGTCAG